GAGGAACACGGTATGTATTCACTCATAAGTGGATTCTAACCATAATTTAAGGTCTTTGAGCCTATTATTCGTGATCCTAGAGAAGCTAAATAAGAAGATGAACCTGATGAAGATTATTTAGCTATCCGCCAGGAGGTAGGAAATAGTCAAGAGTCCCAGGTAACCTTGGGTGCATGGGGGGTGGGGGGGTGGGAGGGTTGTTGGAAGGGGAGAGGGTTAGAGAGAAGGGAGTAGGGGAGGAATAGAGAAAGCTCGGTTGACCGAGATGGGGGGAAGGGAGGAAGGATGAATGTGGGATCAGGGAAGAATATATTTCAACTAAGGGAGTCATTTTAGAGTTTACAGGAAACTTGATTATATATGGGATCCCAGGTCCAAGGAGAGATCCCCAGATTGTTCTCTGGACAGAGGAGGGGGTGCCTGAACCGGCCTTGGCCCGTGACCATACTGATGAATATTTTGCTTATCACCATAGATCCTTCATCTGGCGTTGGATGGCGATACAGATGGAGGCCCGCGTTGGAGCACCGAACTGAGCCCCCCAAGATCCAAATGAGGAGCAGAAGGAGGAAGAAAATGACGAAGTACTGCGAGGGATACTATCACCCACTGATACAAGGGGTCGGATCTAATGAGAGTTTACCAAGGCCAGATGGACCATGACTGAACGAGCATGTGATCGAACCAGATTCTCTGAATGTGGCCGGATTTTCTGAATGTGGCTGGCCTGCAGTCTTTCTGAGAAGCCATTGACAATGACACTGGGACTGGTTTCTTCTGCATATACTGGATTTTTGGGATCCAGTCTGTTTGGATGCTCACCTTCCTGGACCTGGAGGGAGGGGGGAGGAACTTGGACTTCCCACAGGGCAGGAGACCCTGACTGCCCTTGGGGACAAAGAGGGAGGAGGAGAGGGAGGGGGGAAGTGGGAGGGCGTTGGGAGGAGGGGCGTAAATGGAAACTTTTTATAATTTAATAAAATTACTTTCAAAAAAAAAAAGATCCATTATGATCAAGTGGGCTTCATCCCAGAGATGCAGGGCTGGTTCAACATACGCAAATCTATCAATGTAATCCATCATATAAATAAACTGAAAGAAAAAAACCATATGATCACTTCATTGGATGCTGAAAAAGCATTTGACAAAATTCAACACCCTTTTATGATAAGGGTGTTGGAGAGATTTGGTTTACAAGGATCATACCTAAATATAATAAAAGCAATATATAGCAAGCCGACAGCTAACATCAAATTGAATGGAGAGAAATTCAAAGCCATTCCACTAAATTCAGGAACACGACAAGGCTGTCCACTCTCTCCATACCTCTTCAATATAGTGCTTGAAGTTCTAGCAATAGCAATAAGACAACATAAGGGGATCAAAGGGATTCGAATTGGAAAGGATAAAGTTAAACTTTCGTTATTTGCAGACGATACGATAGTGTACATAAGCGACCCCAAAAACTCTATCAAAGAACTCCTACAGTTGATAAACACCTTTAGTAATGTGGCAGGATATAAGATCAACTCCAAAAAATCGGTTGCCCTCCATACACAAAGGACAAAGAAGCAGAGAGGGAAATCAGAGAAACATCACCTTTCATGATAGCCACAAATAGCATAAAATATCTTGGGGTAACTCTAACCAAGGAAGTGAAAGACCTATTTGACAAGAACTTTAAGTCCTTGAAGAAAGAAATTGAGGAGGATACCAGAAAATGGAAAGACCTCCCCTGCTCTTGGATTGGGAGAATCAACATAGTAAAAATGGCAATTCTACCAAAAGCAATCTATAGATTCAATGCAATTCCCATCAAAATCCCATCAAACTTCTTCACAGACCTTGAGAGAACAATAATCAAGTTTATATGGCAAAACAAAAAACCCAGGATAGCCAAAACAATCTTATACAGTAAAGGAACTTCTGGAGGCATTACCATCCCTGACTTCAAACTCTATTACAGAGCAACAGTGTTGAAAACAGCTTGGTATTGGCATAACAACAGAGAAGTCGACTTATGGAATCAAATAGAAGACCCGGGTATTAACCCACAAACTTATGAACACCTGATTTTTGACAAGGGAGCTAAAGGTATACAATGGAAGAAGGATAGAATCTTTAACAAATGGAGCTAGCATAACTGGATGTCAACCTGTAGAAGAAAAAAATAGATCCATTTCTTTCACCATGAAGAAAACTCAGGTCCAAATGGATTAAAAACATCAACATTAATCCGACCATTTTGAACCTGATAGAAGAGAAAGTGGGAAATAGTCTACAAGATATAGGCACAGGAGACCACTTCCTAAGCAGAACCCCAGGAGTGCACACAATAAGAGAAACAATGAATAAATGGGACCTACTGAAACTGAGAAGCTTCTGTAAAGTAAATGATACTGTCAGTAAGACAAAAAGGCTATCTTCGGACTGGGAGAAGATCTTCACCAACCCCTCATCAGACAAAGGTCTGATCTCCAAAATATACAAAGAACTCAAGAAACTAGACACTAAAACCCTAATTAACCCAATTAAAAAATGGGGTACTGATCTGAACAGAGAACTCACAACAGATGAACTTCGAATGGCCAAAAGGCACTTAAGGTCATGCTCAACCTCCTTAGCGATCAGGGAAATGCAAATCAAAACAACTTTGAGATATAATCTTACACCTGTCAGAATAGCCAAACTCAAAAACACCAAGGATAGCCTATGCTGGAGAGGATGTGGAATGAGGGGAACACTCATCCATTGTTGGTGGGAATGCAAACTTGTGCAGCCACTGTGGAAATCAGGGTGGCGGTTTCTCAGGAAACTGGGAGTCAACCTCCCTCAGGACCCAGCAATTCCACTCTTGGGAATATACCCAAGAGATGCCCTAACATACTACAAAAGCATTTGTTCAACTATGTTCATAGCAGCACTATTTGTAATAGCCAGAACCTGGAAACAACCTAGGTGCCCCTCAATAGAAGAATGGTTAAAAAAGGTGTGGAACATATACACATTAGAGTTTTACTCAGTGGTAAACAACAATGACATCTTGAATTTTGCATGCAAATGGATGGAAATAGAAAACGCTTTACTGAGTGAGGTAAAGAGGAACACGGTACGTATTCACTCATAAGTGGATTCTAACCATAATTAAAGGTCTTTGAGCCTATTATTCGTGATTCTAGAGAAGCTAAATAAGAAGATGAACCTGATGAAGATTTTTTGCTATCTGCCAGGAGGTAGAAAATAGACAAGAGTCCCAGGTAACCTCGGGTGCATGGAGGGGTGGGAGGGTTGTTGGAAGGGAAGAGGGTTAGACAGAAGGGAGTAGGGGAGGAATGGGGAAAGCTCGATGGACCGGGAGGGGGGGAGGGAGGAAGGATGAATATGGGATCAGGGAAGAATATATTTCAACTAAGGGAGTCATTTTAGGGTTTACAGGAGACTTGATTATATATGGGATCCCAGGTCCAAGGAGAGATCCCCAGATTGTTCTCTGGACAGAGGAGAGGGTGCCTGAACCGGCCTTGGCCCATAATCATACTGATGAATATTTTGCTTATCACCATAGATCCTTCATCTGGCGATGGATGGAGATAGAGACAGAGACCCACATTGGAACACTGGACTTAACTCCCTAGGTCCAAAGGAGAAGCAGAAGGAAAGAGAACGTGAGCAAAGAAGGCAAGACCAGAGGGAACCTTCATCTGACGATGGATGGCGATCCAGATGGAGACCCACATTGGAGCACCGGACTGAGCCCCCCAAGGTCCAAATGAGGAGCAGAAGGACGAAGAAAATGAAAAAGTAAATCAGGACTGCGAGGGATGCGATCACCCACTGATACAAGGGGTCTGATCTATTGAGAGTTCACCAAGGCCAGTTGGACTGGGACTGAACGAGCACGTGATCCAACCAGATTCTCTGAATGTGGCTAGATTCTCTGAATGTTGCTGACCTGGAGTCTTTCTGAAAAGCCATTGACAATGACACTGGGACTTGTTTCCTCTACATATACTGGATTTTGGGGATCCAGTCTGTTTGGATACTCACCTTCCTGGACCTGGAGGGAGGGGGGAGGAACTTGAACTTCCCACAGGGCAGGAAACCCTGACTGCTCTTAGGGATGGAGAGGAAGGAGGAGAGGGAGTGGGGGGAGTGGGAGGGTGTTTGGAGGAGGGGTAGAAATGGAAACTTTTATAATTTAATAAAATTACTTTCAAAAAAAAAGAATTGGTTAATAAGAAGAGCATAAGATACTGGGCCAATCAGATTATAACTAATGTAGACCTCTGTGTTTTTCATTCGAAATTAATGACTGAGGGAACCAGGCAGAAAGAAACCTCAATCAATGGGAAGATGAGGATCACGACAGGGAAACCCACAGAAATAGCTGACCTGAGCTCAAGGGAGCTCACAAAATCTGTACCAACACCTAAAGAGCTGGCGTAGGACTCTCTTAGGCCCTCTGCATGTTTCTAACAGTTGTGTAGGCTGGTCTGTTTATGGGATTCCTAGCAGTGGAACCAGGATCTATTCGTGGCACATGAACTGGCCTTTTGGAACACATTCCCTGTGGTGGGATGGATTGTCCAGCATCAATACAAAAGTTAGGAGCTTGGTCCTGCCTTAACTTGGCATGCCAGGGTTTGTTGGCTCCCATTAAAGACGTTATCCTTTCTGAAAAGAGACAGGAGTGTATGTGAGGAAAAGAAGGGATTGGAAAGAGAGGAAAGAGGACAAAATGTGGTTGGTTTGCAAAATAAATAAATGGAAAAAGTGCCCACCATCCTATAAGCATAAACAAGCTAGGAAACAAGTAGCAATGAGAACAAATGTAGAAGAGGAGCAGTAACTCTATCACTGAAGGTAGAATCCTCTCTACATATTTAGCATTAATAAGCCCTACATCTTGATGCCATCAATTTTTGAACCGACAAGCTCCTTCCTTTTATTTCTTTTTTGTGAGATACAGACACAGAGTGTAGTCAGGTGGGAAATAGATACAGATATAGAACCATGAGGACAATAACAGAAGAATACTCAAGTAAGACTGATAGCGCAGTAAATGCCATTTACTCTTATAATTTTTTCCATTTAAAGCCAATTCATTAGATGTTGTTTATTTCTTTGGTGTATGTTGAATGTGTGAGTGCACAGAGCCAGATGGTGTGGGAGGTCCTTCTCTTTATGTGTTGCTTTTACTGGATAATGAATGACAGACTGCTTTGGGCCTGCACAGGGAAGAGAGATAGGCAGGGAAAGCAAGGAAGAATGATGGGAGAAAGGAGGTAGAAGGAGAGAGAAGCAATGGAGCTGCTGTCAAGGACAGATGAATGAAAACTTTACCCAGTAAGCCACAGCCATGTGGCGATATACATATTAATAGAAATTGGTTAAATTATTATGTAAGAGTCAGTCAATAAGAAGCTAAGTGTAATGGGCCAAATAATGATTTAATGAATATAGTTTCTATGTGAGTATTTCAAGTCTGGGCACTTGGGATGAACAAGTAGCCTCCCCCAACAGTCGGAAGACAATTTCTAGGAGTTCGTTACCTCTATTTATTACATGGCTCCTGGGGATGAACTCATTACCAGCTGTAGTAGCAAGGGAATTAATTACTTTGCTATATTAATGGCCATTAATATGCTTTAAAGACTTTTATTTTATTACATGGGGTGAGAACCATAGAGGAAAACAATATGTCTGTCATCTGTATATACCCAATATTAAACAAATAGTTATTTGACTAATAAGGGCTTGTAGGTGACAACACCATTCAGATGATTGTGACTATGTTACATTCATACCACACTGTTTTAATTTAACATGTGTAAAATTATTAAGTGGGTGCTGTACATAAAAATATTGAATGCAGGATTCCTCATCTGTTTTATATTATGTGTCAGTACCTATCAATATTTCCCTAGAGTTCAAATCACATTGATCCTTTGAAAAGGGGGTCTCTGGATATTGCTTAGTCTTCTGTCTCATATTTATCTGTGTCTGATTTAACTGTACAAGTAAATATTTCTGTTTTCATTAACCAAAGAACTTGCAATTGGTTCCTAACACCCTCTAACAGAATTCTGTAGTGGGAGGCTGTTAGAAGGACCTCCCACACCAGAGTTCAGTGGATCTGATGTCCTATTCTGATCCTCATTAATTTTTATACCCACATGGTGTCTATAAATGTCTGTAGAGACACATACACACATATAGTTAGATTAATAAATCACTAGGAAGACCTTGTTTAGAATTCTCTCTCACTGCAGTTTGATTATCAAAACTGTTTCTTTGAGAAATTGACATATGTCATGAATTTTTAGTGGGTCAAAGATGTATGTCATACCAAACAGTGTGACTTAAAGGGACATTGATATTGATCATATTCCAATAAATCTAACTTGGGAAAGTGAATATTCAATCTGTGCCGAAGATTTTAGATCCTTTGATCGTCCCACTGATCAAGGTCAAGTGTTTATCTCGGCAGCAAATACTCACTTGTCTCATTAGAAACTTCATTTTCTGGGCAGGGACTGCAAGCAAAACAGCAGGCTGCCATTCCCTCCTGCCTGAATTTTCTGAATCCAGGACCACAATCAGCACTGCACACAGAGGGCGGCATCTGAGGAAAATTAGACACATGCTGATATCAGGAAACCTGCCTATTCATTCCATAACTACTTTTAATTACCTTGATAAAGTATCAATAAGTTTATTTTATATACACTAAAGAGTACCATATTTCACTTTGCATATTATAGAATGACAATTTATGTAAATGTATAGAAACAATTTAACATAAAATTGATAGCGTCACATAGCTGGAAATTTAGGACGAATGAGTTGTTCACTGTCGACAAATAAACATGACAGAGCATGCAAACAGTTTTTTTTCTTATTATTTTTTTCTACTTGACACAGAGTACATTAAAAAGATAGAGGAAACCTTAACAAAAAAAAATTCCATTGGATTAACCTGTCATCATAACTGCAAAATATTTTACTCATTGGTATTTGATATAGAAGTGCTCAGTCCACTGTGGACAGTGCTGTCCCCTAGGCAGGCTGTAGGAGAAATCAAGCAGAAGAATCCAGTAAGCAGTGTTCCTTCGGGTTCAGTACTTTAGTTGCAGTCTTCAGGTTCCTGCCTTGTCTTCCCTCAACTATAACCCATGAGTCAAACCAACCCTCCCTTCTCACTTTGCTTATGATCTGTGTAATCACAGCAATAGCATGACAAGGTAGGACCAATGGAGAAAGCTAAAACAGGGAAATACTCCTCAAATCTGAGATAGCACACAAAAACTCCACAAAAATCACCCTGCAAAGCATGACAGAATGTAAAAAAGACAGATGACTAGGTAGAGCCTGGTGCATTTTTAGTGATGAAGTGCTGAGTTGATGTGCACGGAGCTGGAAGGTGGAGTGTTTCCTGAGCATAGAGTGCTTTACAAAGGCTGCAGATACTGCAGAACCTGGATAAAAGTTAAAGAACTTGAGGTTAATTGGAAGATTTCTTAAAGTTTAAAATAAAATATCTTCATATCATCAAAAAACTAGTGATACAGGCCTACATTCTGCTTTGGAAAGCTGCTAATATTGCAGGCTCACATTGTGTGCTCTGTTCAGTGCTGAGTTCAGTGTTGAAACTTCAGAGTCTCCTATGCTCACGCTCTTTCATATTCTCCACAATTTAATTAGGGACTAATATCCCTTTGTTTTCTGCCTCCTTGAAAGCGGATTTCACTGTGTAGTGGTCTTAAACCTCACTCCTTCTATAGACTAGGCTGACTTAGATCCCACAAGGATATGCTTTTTCTGCCTCCTGATTGCTGGGGTTAAACATGTATGCTACCAGTGGACATATTTCTTCCCTTCTTTTCTGTTTATCATGGTTATAATTTCTTTTTGTACTTGCTAAGATGTTAAGGAGTATTTTGAATGAGAATGAAGAACATGTATATACTTGTCTACGTTTTGCCCATGTATTTTGAGGTGTAGTCTCTATATGTAACCCTAGCTGACTTGAACTTGCAATGTAGGCCAGACTTGCAATAAAAAGACAGAACTTTGACTGTCTCTGCCTCCCAAGAGATTAGATTAAGATATGGACCACAACATACAACTGGCCTCACTTAGGATTTCAATGGAAATTCTTTTCTCTTCATGTAGGATAATGTTGTCAAATGGTTTGCCATGGAAAACATTTTTAAAGTGATCAGACTGTTAAATATTAATTAATGAAAAGAAAACCTGATTTTGTCAAGATGTGATCTTTCTTTTATGCTGGTTATTTTATTTTAATTCTGAATGAATGCTGAAATTGTTATGCACACGTTCTGCACATATTTGGATGATCCTCTAGTTCTATCAATGAGTCTATTTATCTGCCACATTTACACAACTGATCTGCATATGTTGAACCCAACTTGCATCTCTGAAATACAGTCATTATTACCAGTGGGGAAGATATTTCTGTTGTGTTGTTGAGGTTTTGTGTTTTAATTTAGTTTAGTTTTGTTTTGTTTTTTGCAGAGTGAGGTTGGATATTTATTTAGTGGGTTATGGATGGGAAAAGGACAAAAATGGAAAAGAGCAGAGAGAGAAACAGAGAGGGGGAAGAAATAGGGAGAAGGGAGAGACAGAAGCTGCCTTTTTGGGAGAGACATGGAATGGCATGTTGTTGAGTTTTATTACTCTGGTTTGGTTGAGAAATTTTACATCTATGTCCATTAAAATGTTTAGTCTCTAATTTCCTTTATTATGTTACATTTCCTCAAAATTCTCCCACCCTATATTTATGGAAGTAGTCTCTTCATGTTTGTAAGTGAGGTTTGAGTTTGGAAGCAAAAATGACTGCTGATTTTACAGCCAATCTTGATGTTTGTGTATTTTAAATAGAGAATGGGAAAATTAACATTAAATTGCTATTGAAAATTTAGCTAATTATTATTGCTTATTGTTGTTATTGCAATATTTGATACTTTTAATAGTTGTTTGTCTGGTGTTCTAGTGATGTCTTTGTATACTTTGGTCACTTGTATTTTCATTATTTTAGAGGTTGTAAGAGTTCTTCAGGTGTCTTACATAGTAGTGTTAGAATGGTTATCAATTCCTATAATTTATTTTCATCATTAAATTTTGTTCTGTCTTTATATTAGTTAGGGTTCTTTGGAGTAACAAATCAAAAAACAGAACTGTCTCTGTTTCTCTCTCTATCTCTGTCTCTCTCCTCTATAAATACACATATGCAACTTATTAGAATGTCTTGTGATCTAGCTAATTCAATAATTGCTGGATATGAATGGAAAGTTCAAGAATCCATCTACTTCTCAGTCCACGAGGCTGAATGTCTCAGTTGATTTCCATTATACACTGGAATCCCAAAGAAATACCCTTAATGCCAGTGAAATAATGAACTTGGGAACAAGCACACAAAGAGCAAAGGTTTTCTTTTTCTGTGTCCTTATATGTGCTTCCAGGAAAGGGTGTATTCCAGATAAGAGGTGGATTTTCCAAGACAAATTGATCTGGTTAAAGTTGTGTCTTCCCAACATAAAATCCAGATAAAAGACATGTCTTTCCACACTTAAAACATCTCAATTGATAGTAAGTCTTTTATCTCTCAATCTCTATAGATAGATAGATAGATATAGATATATATCTTTCAGTCTTTTGGCCTTCCTGTATGTAAGTCATACTTCTTTTTTATTAATTTTTTGTTTTGCTTTTAACCACAAGGTTTATCTTTTACCATGGCTGTCCTGGAAATCACTGTGTAGATCAGGTTGTCCTCCAACTCAGAGATCCACCTGCCTCTACCTCAAGAGTTCTGTGATTAAAGGCATGCATCACCCGTGCTCTTTGTAAAGTGTTTTATCCTATCTCAAAGATATGGATAAGAAATGGATCGTCCCACTTCACATTAAGCAAAACTCCCTTTCAGGTTTGCTCTGCATATTTGAGTTTCATTGAATTCTTAAAACTGTGAATTTGGTACCCAAGAAGAGCCATCACAGTTTCCTTCATTTATAAAAGATAACTTTGTTGGATATAGTGACTGGGTTTGGCAATTATGAATCTAACTGCTTCAATTCTATCACTGATACTGTACTGTTTTATGGACTTCTTTCCTGAAGCCTTCAACTTGTTCTCTTTGTCCTGTATATTTTGAATTCAAAGTAAACTATGTCAGGGAAAGGTTCTCTTCAGATATTATGTGTTTGGTATTCAAATGTCCCCTGTTTCTAGATAGCCACATGTCCGACTGTATTCTGAAAAGTCACTGTTACACACTATTGGATATACTGTTGATGCTTATGGGGTATCCTTCTTCTCTTCTGGATATAGGTTAAAACTTAGATCCTTTAATTTGATTCTCTTTGTCTCATATATCTTTTATTTTTTTCTTATTTTTTTGTCTTCATCATAGCTTCAGATTTATATTTTCAGTCTGGTCTTTGAGTCTTGCCACCCTCTCTTCATCTTGAAGGATTATGTTAGTGAGAATTTTCACTGATATATTTAAGTTATTTCATTTATTTTTCCTTTATATATTTTAGTTTGAATTATTTTCATTTTTTGTATCTTTTGGGATATATCTGTCACATGCTTGCACAGTTCCGTACTGTGTGCAAGTTTTCGTGAACTCCTTGCTTTGTTCTGGAGGTTGTTTGACTTTCAAGGTCATCTTTGAGTCTTTGTTCAGTACATTGTGAACACACTCTTGTTTAAAACTCTGACTCTAACATTTGGAGTTGTGTTGCTTGGATGTCTTCATATTTGTCTTCACTTGTTTGTGCACTGAAATTTGTATATCTGGGAGTATAGCCCTGGTTGCATATTTTTTAATCTTCTGGATTCCTGCAATGGATGTTTTTGTAATGTAAATCACTACATCGGGTCAGACCTACCTGTCTACTTCCTGTGGCCCACTCTAGAATGTCTTCATATAAATGGAGCTGTTGACCATGTGGAAAATATGGGCTGAACATTCCTATCTTCACCTTAAGTCCAAGACCATTTGGGAAATTCCAAATCTGGAAAATGTCATACTCTGGCTCCAGTTTTTCTTTCCGGTTCATATTCACTCTGTCCCCAACTGGATTAGTGAAGTGAATCTTCCTAAGTAAGGACTTTACCTGAAAGACAGGCAGCATTCTTTAGTGAATGTGCCCTTCCTTGAAGTCAGAAAATATATTCTGATTTCATCTTCAATGCAACTTTCTTGAATGTGCCCATGTGAGAAATCTCAATAAAAGCAAGTAGATAAATGGAAATATAATATCAGTCCTAAAATTTTATTTTTTTCAGAGGAACTACCAAACATAAGCACAGACATACATAACAACCCCAATTGTAAGTATTAAATATTCATAAACACATACACACAGAGACACATATTCATACATAGATACATACATAATACAGGCACATACTATTTACACATACATACACCTGAAGACAAGAAAGGATATGAACATATAGACACATAGAGACAGACTTATGCACCCAGATATAGAGAAAGAGAAACCCACAAAAACATACACAGGACCATACACATGCTCACAAATTCATGGATAAATGTGCACAGGGAGACATACATATTATAAACAGATATAAATGCGGGGAGACATTGAAAGAGACAGATTTATCCTCAAATGCAAAGACAGACAGATACACATACAGAGGAACAGAAACACAGATATACATATGTACAACACATTCACCAAAACTTGTCCATACCCAGTAACACAAATATGCATAAGTGCAAGCACAACCACAAACACAGACAAATCACACCCATGGGCACTTGTAGATAATGCACTGACAAATACACATAGGGAGAGACACACAGAAGCACACCCAAAGAGAAAGGCATTGACAAAAGACCAATTTATTCTCACTTACACAATCAGGTAGGTATGCAGATAGATAGAAACACATATTTAACATCTACACAGATATACCCAAAAGAACAAAGAAACACACAAACATTCACCCATATACAATAAGAACCATCCATTCACACACACGTGAGTTTTACAAAGCCCAGAGTTGGGGCAGAATCAGTTTAGAACATCTGTGCAAACCACCCCTACAATGATTACTACATATTTGTCAATTAAGGAACAAAAGCTCATCTTTTTATCATGGAGAGGATTAATGAAGAAGACTCCCATGTTTACAGTATTACAGCAATGATGATGATATTCAGGTACTCTATAACAGAATCACTGATTTTCATTTAGAAATTGTGTCTCCCACACCAAAACGTTTGCATTTGAGATTTTCCAAACCTCTAAATTTACTTCCGCAAGAGAAAAAATGTTCAAAAATCTTGCTACTTGTGGAAATATATTCTAACCCACTAGAATGGACTAGTAGAGACTCTAATAGAGACTGATATTGAAAACGATGAGCATCATCAAATAGAAATATCACCAAATAGAAATATCACCTTCAAGCAGTTACCCAGGTGTACTTCCTGATTGCCCGTTTGCTGAAGAAACCTCTCATGGTAGACATGGGCCATGGTATACACAGCATTGTATATGTCATAGCTGCCATCACTAAAAGCCATGTCAAATGTCTGTGCAATCAGCCATTCCAATGAGTTGTTGGATGAGCAGTTCCTCAGTGTCTTCCACATAGAAGCCAAGACTCCACAGTTAAAGTTCATCCACTCCAGCCTTGCCAGGTATTCATCTGAGTATTTGAGAGAGTTCACTGTCTGGATAAAACTTTTAAAACCAGAAACCTCAGCATGGTGGTGTGCAAATGCCAGAGTCCCAGAGAACAATTCAGGTGAGAAGTCGCTTTTACTTGTAGTGACATCCCACTGTGAGGTGGTGACCCAGATTTTCTTTATTCCTCGGGAGACCCACGTTCTAAAGCTGACAGCTAGAGTACTGTCTGTGTCACCATAAATGATAACAACATTTGAGGATGACGTCAAGATTTGGTTATAATACACTTCAGCTTTTGGCATGTACAAATGAATGTTGAGCGGAATCATGTTAACAAAGGCAAAGCAGAGTGTATTTTTTTCCATCTCTGTTCTCAAATACGAGAGAAACTGGATACCCTGATCATTGTCTGAGATGGTCAGCCCAATCCAGTTCCAGCTGAAATGGAGTATGAGGGAGACCATAGCCAGGGGTAGAGATGTGTCCTCACTGGCCATTTGGTACAGAAAAGGAAATTGTTCACGATCACTCAGGACAGGATGAAAGGGTCCGTAGGTGAGCTGAAAAAACTAGGAAACAGAGAGCAGCGTGAGGTAGCATGCACTGCTAAGGACTTGTCAAACACACTTTTCTGTAAAGAGTTCTAAATCACATCCTTGCCTGTTACTCTTCCCTCATCTCTATTTCAAAAATGTAAATACAGAAGTCCCCTGAATAGTACCCATGGACTAAACAGCCTGAGATAAGTGTAGGCCGGTCGCCTCCTCACACTTTTCTTAACAACTGAAAATGGCACCAATGGAGACAGGATTTCTTGCCACCCATGACCACACAAAATCTCACCTGATAAGGAAGGAGGCTGTGCAAGGTTTTTCCATCCATAGAAGACACTACCCAGCTTGGTCCTGAAAGCATAACTATACATTTGTTCCATTCTTTACAGTGAAAACTATGATACAAAGTATCAGTATGTTGAACATTGAGAATATTATGATATCGAAGGCAACTGTGAAATTGTGGCATAGTCTTACACCCACTTGGCAAAATATCAAATTGCAAAGACATATTTGGAGAAAGATCAGGGTCCCTGTTGACTTCATCCAAGGAAAAAATTAAGGCCATTACAAGCTGATAGTTTTTCTTTGGTGTTCTGTAAAATGATACAGTGTTTAATAGGACAAATACCTACAGAAAATCATGTACAATGAATATGAGGACTATCTGTACTGAATGGTATTCCCAACCACCCCCAATGTCTGAAATGAATCTTCTGTGTTGTAATGTTCAGATGACATAGGAAGCTGGAAGCTTGAAAACACTTTATATTTCATGAGAATGCATCTCCAATAAAGAAGATGCGCCATTATCATCTTTCACAGAGAACCTTGTCCATCTCTGGTTTTTGAGTGCTTGCTCATAAGGTAAAGACAAGGCCACTGGCTTTGACCAAACAGTAAACCTGGTCATGTACACATTTTGAAATTATTGAACAATAAAAATGCACATGATGTGTGAACCATTGAATTTACTGTATTTTATGTGAAATTAACTGAACTGGCTAAGGCAGTCAAAATGTCAGATGAGTGTAAAGTGGTATGGACAATATTTGGCTCTTCTGCTTACAATTATTTATAATCAGTAGGTAATATACATAACATATCCCATCCTATACATATTCATCTATTTTTGTTTCTTGTTTATCTTTTTTCAGGGATAAAATCTTTTTAAAGATATATTTTTAAATGTATTTAAATACCAGCGGTATATTTTATAAAGTTTTATGTCTCTATGCATCTGTATATATGGACAGTATTAATGTACATTGAAGCCATAAATAATGAATGGATTCTGTGGCTTTGAATGATTTTTTGTTGTATACTAGACTTTCATCAAAGGCATGGGGTTATACCTGCTCCAGATACTGAGTGAAGAAATTAAGCGCATGTACTTCCTCCCCAATATTGTTTACCTATTTTATGTTTACACCCGTATGCCATATATTCACTCTGGGTGTATCTGACCAACATAAATTGTCTTCTGGAAAATATCTTTCCAGATATCTTTCCATTGTTGTAAAAGGAGCAGCGGGCCACTTCCCACTGCCAGGCACCTGGCTAGCTTTACCCAAAATAATTACACAGAAACTGTATTCATTTAAACATTGCCCAGTCCATTTGTTCTAACCTTTTATTGGCTAACTCTTACATGTTGATTCAACCCATTTCTAATAATCTGTATTGCCAGTTGACTGTGGCTTACCAGCATGAATCTAACCAATGTCCTTCTTGGAGATAAAAGTCATGGCGTCTTACAGACTGCCTTCTTCCCAGCATTCTGTTCTGTCTACTTGTCCCACCTAATTTTCTGCCCTATCAAAAGGCCAAGACAGTCTTTTTATTTAATGAACGAAAGTAACACATAGACAGAAGACCCTCCTACACCATCCAATTACAATAACAATGGCATCCTACTGGGATTAGTATGTGCCAGTATTACATGTTTGCAAAATAGAAGACCTTAGCTGTAAAGTGTATGTTAAATATTAATGGAGTTTCATGTAATAATAATGGGTAAGTAGTCAGTTGGAAGAGAATGATACCAATTTCTGTTTTTGTATATGGGAAGAAAAATTGTGGTTTCTTCCTAACTCATTGCATATAATCTAGCCACAAAATATCAAACATACATTATCATTTTGAATAATTCATTAAAGTTAAATACAATCACTTTACCACTTAGAAATTGTACCACTGCAATGTTTTTATGTATGAAAATAGGTATTTATCTATATATTTATAAAATAAAAAATTTAGAATTTTCTTTATTACCACACAGGAAATATAACATTGAAAATTTTGGTAACTTGCAACAGGAATCTGAGATTAGAATTTGTAAAACTCAAACACTCAAACACTAAGTCCTGCAAACTAAGTATTAAGAATCATCTATGATTTGAGACAATAAAGTGACCTAGTGGATTAAAGTTCTGTGTATGAAACCAGCTCTTAACAATTGATAAAATCAAAATATGTATATTTCAAAAGAAGTAAAAGGGGTAGAAATAATTAATAAAGTGACTTACAGAAAAACAAGAGAGGTCAATGCGATATGAGGGTCAGAGAATAAACAACTTAGACTTGGAAAGAAAAGACACATGCCTCTTAAATAATGACAGAGGTGAATCTAGTTGGTACCTCCTCTATTCTTGTTGTCAGATAGTGCCAATTCTCAAGTGGCACAACTGTCACTTAAGCAATTGACAGCAGAAGTGAGCAGTCATCACTATTAGTGACAGCTTCAATTTTCAAAGAACACAAACCTATCATTTACATTCTATACATTCCTTCTTTATGCTAATTTTTCAGTGATGAAATGGACTTTGAAATTAAAGGCCAGTGGTTGTGCAGGTACACATGTGAACTATGAAGGAAGAGGAACTCATAGGAAGTTCAGAGTGGACAGGTCTCCTACTTCCTGTCTTGATGCACCTTTGAAAGTTTTAGTGTGACCACATGCAGAACATCTGAGAGAGTAACTGAAAATGAACTAAAATATGACATTCATTGGAATAGAATGGGGTTTCGTTTGATGAGGCATCACCTGCAACTGTGCTGTGGAAACTGAGAAGAGGCAGGCTATATGTGACATAAACAGTATAGAGTACGTATTCACACAACACCCAGTCTGGAAATTTGGAGGGGGAGTGGGAGAAAAATAGAACATTCTCTGAAAATTTAAAGATAGAAAAATAACATGTAGTCTCTAGAAGAATGTGGTGTTTTTATTTGGGTGCAAGTTGGGAGAAGAGGGCAGAAGATTCAAGGCATTGTTCAGATGTTCATGTCTTGACCCCTCATGGAATATCCATGACGGCATTTACATAGAAAATAAAAAGGCACTTACTCCTCATGCAAACGACCTTCCAAATCCTCCACAGCATGTGTTCTATTCCTTGGGCCAATAAGAAAGGTATAATATCTCAATGTGTCTCCATCAGTCTCTTCATTCTGCTTCATTCTCCAAAAGCACCTGGGATGAATGAAACCGGGCTCCTGAGGTAAAATGTTCTGGAGCAAGAAGAACAAAACCAAAGTAAGCATGTTTGTCTGCTCTAAGCCTGGGCAGTTGAATTATGACCTTCCATGCAGATCAGCACATCCAGTGGGCACCTGGGTATCACCACCTGCTTTTATTTCTGTGGTCGTATGAGAAGCTATTTATGCATTCACGAATCCTTTCTTTGTGTGTGTGCAGATGTTTTCTTATCCATTGGGAAACTTTGACACTCTCTTCCCTGCGGCTCTGCACCTGATTTCCACAGCCCATGTGATAAAATTTGGTTTATAAATAGATACGAGGACAGTTATGCTAGTTTAATGACATCACTCATTTTTGTGGAAATTATACCCCTGGGAAGATGCCAATTAGAGAAAATTTGGTCCCATGACTACTTTATCAATGTGTTTATGCTAACACCTTTAGAAATGATGTCAGTGGACTTCATTAGATAATCCACAGTGACACTTGCACATTGGTTCAGGAGGACTCACGATGTCAGAATTCATGGTTCCTCACTGGGAACTGTTTCACTGAGTCCATGTCAGGGCAAATCAGCTCCATGTTTAGAGCAGTGGAGCACCACACAGCACACAGAGTGCGGCATATTCTACACATGTGACAGGTCCAAAATACCTAACCAAAGCCTGTGCTTCCACTGTCTTGAAAACCATTAATCAGGCCAAACCCAGAAATTTTCTGAATCCTACTGCTCCAAAACCACCCATCTCATCATAGAACCACATTTCATTCCCATGTTGAATGCTAATTTTAAGTATTCAAAAGATTCAGAGAGAAAACCAGACCTCTGTGCCTTATTACTAATACTACACAAGACTCCTCCTCCTAGCCAATCATTATTAATGAGAAGCTGGGTATTAGATTTCCAAACATGATCTCCTTTCCTGGCCCTTCATTCAAGCAGACCAATACTGTGTTTTGACCCATTTCTTCTGGTTTATCTCTGATTTCCTACATTGTTTTACTCATTTTATAATCCAGTAGAGACTGTAAAGAAGCCTTGTTTAGTATCTTAGAAGCAAAGAGAAACTGGGAAGTGATGCTGTGTTTACGTGTAAATTCTTATACCATTTTCCTAGTATTCGACTTAGTTTGCACTTGAAACCTGCACTGTCAGTGTGGGAGTGTTCTGCTGAGTGTGGGCTGGAAAGCATCTTTTAGTGGAAATGTACTACAGAGAAAGTAGGACAAACTTAGGGCAAGCATTTTGCTGTGGGTGATGATATGTCTAATTTAGTATTTGAGATGAGACAAACAGGACTAGTGTTCTCCTCAGATCTCATTGTATATTTCAGAATAATTATGGGCTGGGCATTAGTGGCATGTGCCTTTAATCCCAGCGTTTGGGAGGCAGAGGCAGGCAGATCTCTGAGAGTTCAAGGCCAGCCTGGTCTACAAGAGCTAGTTCCATGACAGGCTCCAAAGCTACAGAAAAACCCTGTCTCTGAAAACCAAAAAAAAAAAAAAATCCGTAGATTTCAGAAATAGGAATGTAGATATAAAAAATATAAAGTTGTAAGTCTAGGAAAATGAGAACAGACTGTCATCAGCTTTTTTGGCAGCTTGAGGATTAACTATTAACAGTGGGTTATTTTGCTTTACAACCCATAGGTCTGTTTACAAGGCCAAAGCATCTCTCTGCAAACTGAGAGCTAGCTTATGGATATGACCTGAATCAACTTTTAGGAAATAGATAAATGACCTCTGGGTTATGCATCATCCCTGCTATGTGAAACTGGCGGCATCAAAGGGGAGAGCACAGGGCTTCAGTAAGCACTGCCTGGAAGTACCAAGGAAGACAATAGGTTAATACAAACATGAGTTTAACTGAAAAACTCTGTCAATGGAGATTTTAATGTAAGGCAATCTGTTTCTGAGTTTTACCTTGATATTGTAAAAATTCCTTTGTTCATACCGAATGCTTTGTGCCTCTACTATAAAAATGAAACCAGCCTTTTGCCACAGGGTCAGAAGCTCGAAACCTGCCTGTGGTCTCAGCTAGTTGATAAGCTTCTGTGCTCAGCAGTGTTTTTCCTTTTATCTTTTTTTTAAGTTTGCTTCTGGTTTATTAGACGTTGGTGGTCTGTCCCCATCTTTGCATGATTCCCCTGGACCCAAGATGGTTAAGGGTGTTTCCCACCATGCCTGGACAATAGTAAGGCTTTAAAAGTATAAAAATAGCTGGGCATTGGTGGCTCATTCCTTTAATTCCTGAACTCTGAGTTCAAACCCAGCCTGGTCTACAGAATGAGTTCCAAAATAGTGAGTGCTACACAGAGAAACTGTGTCTAGCCAGGAGGTGGTGGTGCATGCCTTTAATCCCAGCACTCTGGAGGCAGAGGCAGATGAATCTCTGTGAATTCGAGGCCAGTCTGGTCTACAAGAGGACAGGCTCCAAAAGTCATATAGAAACCCTGTCTTGAGACCCACATTGGAGCACTGAACTTAGCTCCCAAGGTCCAAATGAGGAGCAGAAGGAGGGAGACCATGAGCAAGGAAGTCAGGACCACAAGGGGTGCATCCACCCACTGAGACGGTAGGACTGATCTAATGGGAGCTCACCAAGGCCAGCTGGACTGGGACTGATGGAGCATGTGATCAAATTGGACACACTGAATGTGGCTGACAATGAAGGACAATGGCACTAGGTTTTGATTCTACTGGATGGACTGACTTTGTGGGAGCCTGGTTTTTTGGATGCTCACCTTTATTGACCTGTATGGAGGGTGGAGGACTTTGGACTTCCCACGGGGCAGGGAACCCTGACTGATCTTAGGACTATAGAGGGAGTTGGAGGTGGGGATGGGGAGGGAAAAGGGAGGTGGGGAGGAGGTGGAAATTTTTAATTAATTAAAATAAATAAATAAATAAATAAAAGAAACCCTGTCTCAAAAAAACAAAAGAAAGAAAGAAAGAAAGAAAGAAAGAAAGAAAGAAAGAAACTGTGTCTGAAAAAACCAATACCTGTGGGTGCACATGCGTGTTTGTGTGCAAAGATGTGCAGCCTGTACCTACCTGGAGATTGATCCTAAATGCTCCTTAAAACTCTATCATCTCTGTCTCCAGAGTCCTGGGATTGAAGGTGTGTACCACTGTTCCCTGGCCTCTAGGGGGTTAGATTTGCTCTCTGATATTCTGGCTAGCTTTATTGATTAAAATACAAATAAAATATCACTACATTCACCTTACAAGCCTAAACAACAATACTTATCTCAAACCCAGATGTCAACATTTGTTTTCATGTTCATCTTTTCTATATTTCACCCTAATGACATCTTAATAGTTTTAATCTAGAGCATATAAAGGAATGTCTCTGTGTCACCTGGGCAGCTATTGTTCTGAAGACAGGCTGAGGATGATGCACTGGGTTCCTTTGAAGTCATGGAGTCACTACATTTGGAACCGATGGGAGGACACTGAAATCAGCAAATCTCTGAAGCCTCCATCACTGTAGATGGCTCCAGTGAAACTCTAAGACCACATGAGTCACAGGTGCCCTAATCAACCACTGCCTTCCAATACCAGAATTTGAGGGATCGTATTTCTTAATTTCCACTTGCTCATCTTCATGGAGGACTATATCACGACTTAAAAACCCAGAGACAGATATTGGGGTTCAAGCTGAAGATCAGAAAACAAAGCAGCCAAGCTAATAGAGAGTTCTTACCTCTACCAAGGCTCAGACAAAAAAAGGGGTGATCCTATCATCAGCATGACTGCAGACTGCAATGCTCCCCACCAAACCTCAGACTGCAATCTTGTCTCCTCCTGCCTCACACACCTCTCTCCATCCAGCCATTTCACTCCTGTCTCCACCTCCCTAGTGCTGGGATCAAAGGCCTGTGACTCCCATGTGCTGGGAACAGCTTCCTGTGAAGCCTGTTTCTCTTTTTGACAGGTTCAATTTCACAATGCCCAGGGTGGCCTTGCGTCCTGGGACTAAAGGTGTGTACCACCACTCCCTGGCCTCTAGTGGCTTAGCTCTGCACTCTGATCTTTAGGCAAGCTTTATATTTTAAAATACAAATAAAATATCACTGTAGAGTATAGTCCATGGAACTGATGGCAACAAATGTGCTATCATTAAGAGATGATTGTTAGGGGTGTGGCCAATCCAGGAGCACATTAATGACACATGAGCATCCGTGAGAATTAACTGAGCATTCCTAACATGTAGCCACAACAACCTGAGTGTTGGCTGGGAAATGCTTTCTCTATTCTTGGGTTTAGACAGAAAAGTAATTTTGTGGAAGGTTGGGATGACTCAGTGGGTAAGGGTTTGCCACAGAAGACCAAAGACCTTAGTGTGATCTCCAGAATTCCAGTGGGAGGAGAAATGTGACACTTGAAAGCCAGCCTCTGAGGCCAGGCCTGTTGACAAGAGCCTTTAACCCTAGCACCGTGGAGGCCAGCCTGGTTTACATAGTGAGTTCCAAAAGAAAATCAGCGCCTGACCTTCGCATGATCAGCCCTGGACTCCATGTGGATGAGCAGAGTGGGGATTCACTAAGCTGATCCCTCACTCTGTGGGACTAGAAAAGTGGTCATTTTTGACCCCCCAAAGGGACACAGTCCATCCCTGGCCAATAATCAAGGATGGCAGTAGCCCAAGGTGGCTCTGAGAGCATCCTTTTGTCTCACTGGATGCAAAGTATTAACAATTTGTTTGACTGAGAAATAGAAATAAAATAAAAACACAAGTAGAATTTTGGATTTAGGATGAGTATAGATCTCAGGCTTGATAGAACAGGATTAGGTGTTCAAAGCCAGCAGGGGCAGCATAGGGCAAACGTGGATCACATATGACCCTGCCTTAGGGAGAATGGGAGGAAAAAGCAGGACAGCAGCTTCTGGATGAAGAGCACTAGAAATCTTAGGACATTCAGAGCCCATTTGAGGTGCTGGAGAGATGGCTCAGTGGTTAAGAGCATTGGCTGCTTTTCCAGAGGATCCAGGTTCAATTCCCAGCACCCACATGGCAGCCCACAGCTGTTTGTAGCTCCAGTTCCAGGGAATCTGACAC